CAGAGGATTTATGGTGGGTTATAAAGTTTGGTATTCACATGGCGAAACTGATTTGATGGTGAATTTTGGTAGTACTAGTGTAGAACATAGAATGGATGAAGTAGAAGAACAACAAGGTGGTTTAGATGAACATATAAGTATGGTTCAAATGGTTGAAGATAGACAAAGAGTGGAGGAACCAAACTATGAAGCACAAAATTTTTTTGATATGTTAAATGCAGCAAAGAGTCCGTTATATGATGGTTGTAGAGATGGTATTTCGCCTCTGTCATGTGCAACTAGGATGATGTCTATTAAAACAGATTATAACTTAAGCGAAAGCTGCGTTGATGCGATGGCTGATTTTGTGAAAGATATATTGCCAGAAGATAATCTTTCACCAGCTACATATTATGAGATACAGAAATTGGTTTCTGGATGGGGTTTGCCCTATCAAATGATAGATGTTTGCATCGACAACTGTATTCTATACTGGAGAAGGGATGTTGATCGTACTAGTTGTCGATTCTGTCACAAACCACGGTTCCAAGAAACAAGGGGAAAAACTAAAATTCCATATAAGAGAATGTGGTATTTGCCTATTACTGACCGATTGAAGAGGTTATACCAATCTGAACGTACAGCGGAAGCTATGAGATGGCATGGTGAACACGTATCAGAAGGAGAAATTGCTCATCCATCAGATGCGAAGGCATGGAAACATTTTCAATCAATGTATCCTGCGTTTGCATTTGAGAAAAGAAATGTTTACCTTGGTTTAAGTACTGATGGATTCAGCCCGTTTGGAAGTCATGGGAGACAATATTCTCTTTGGCCGGTTATTGTAACTCCATATAATTTGCCTCCATCTTTGTGCATGAAAAGAGAGTTTCTCTTTCTCGCAATTCTAGTTCCTGGCCCTAACCATCCTAGAAGAGCTCTTGATGTGTTTTTGCAGCCACTGATTTATGAGTTGCAAATGTTATGGAAACATGGAGTTGAAGTGTATGATATATCTTGTAGGCAAAATTTTATGATGCGTGCCGTGCTTATGTGGACCATAAGCGACTTCCCAGCATACGGGATGTTATCTGGATGGACAACATACGGGAGATTATCTGGATGGACAACACATGGAAGATTTTTCGACCATCTTTTTTTGATGTTATGCAGCATCTTCCAATCCATCTTGCTCGAGAAGCAGCACTTGGAGGTCCAGTTCAGTATCGGTGGATGTACGTGATTGAGCGTTCTATGTATGACTTGAAGAAGAAAGTGAAGAATTTAAGCCGGGTTGAGGGGTCTATCGTTGCACAAAGCATCAATGAGGAAACATCACATTTCGCTTCTTACTACTTTGCCCCAGAAGTGCAGACTAAAAGTCGAAAACCTTCAAGATATGATGATGGAGGCCAGAGAGCAATTTATCCTGTCGAGGCTCCTAACATGTTTTCACAAATTGGTCGATTAAGTGGAAGAGGAAAAAATCGAAGACTCACAGAGCAGGAGAAATTGCACTTGCATAAGTACATCTTGGCAAACTGCGAAGAAGTAATGGAATATGAAAGGTAGTTATAAGTTATCTTTTAGTATTATATATTAAACGCACATTTCCTAAATAATATTCTAATTGATTATAAAATCATTAACAGGATTTACATGGAGCAAATAAGGGATGAATATCCTTATTATACTGAAGACCAACTTTCCGAACTTAAGGAAAAAGAGTTCATTAACTGGTTCAGATTCTATGTAAGTTTTCTCAGCCTCTAGCCTATTACTCATGAATCACCATATTTTTGCACATTATGCATAACTTACAATTAAAATATAACTATTATACAGGTCAGATTTCTTTTGGAAACAAAACCGAAAGTTGACCCATGGCTTGAGGAGTTGGCTATTGGTCCTAAATCTGTTGCTGTATCCTACCCAATGTACTGCACGCGTGGATATGCTTTTAAGTGTTTCCGCGAAAACAATACACAATCAACTGCAAATTATGGTATATCAGCTACATCTGGGGAAGTAATTTACTATGGTATCTTGCATGAGATATTGGAGATTCACTATCCCGGGATCCTTAATTTAAGGTGTGTTGCGTTTGCTGCTGATTGGTACAATCCGACCGTTGGATATGGTGCCCGGAATGATGAATTTGGAGTAACGTCAATTCATTCCAGAAGAAGACTTCCAAACTATGATCCTTTCATTCTAGCTTCACAAGCAAATCAAGTTGCTTACTTTCGTTACCCTCGGGTGAGGAATAAACAAGACCTTTGGATCGCCGTGATACCCGTTACGCCAAGGGGTATAGTGCAAGGAGTTTCTGATAAATTCGCGATGCAACAATCATCGAGCAATATTATAGGCGATCTTGATGTTCATGACTCTACTGAAATCGATCTTGTTGTTGATTTTACCGGTATCGGTGACAACGATGTATTCTCTGATTCGGAGCCAGAGAGAGGAGAATTCAACAATGACTTTGATTCAGCTTCTTCGGGATATTCATCTGATTCGGATTAATTTCTCATCGTATAAGTTTATGTAATATTTTGAAAACATATATTTCAGTTGTATTTTTAAAAATAATTTAGGGCCAAAACTTATTTTAATGAGAGTGAAGCAAAGCAAAAAAAAAAAATTCATATAAGTTTATGTAATATTTTGAAAACGTATATTTCAAATGTATTTTTAAAAATAAATATAGGGCCAAAAAATATTTTAATGAGAGTTAAACAAAGCAATTTTTTTTAAAAAAAAAAAACACTTCTGACGGGCTTCTAACCATATTTTCGGTCAGAAATGTTTTGTATATAGTAAAACACTTTAACCTAATTTCTCGTCTCCTCCCCTTCTGAAAACGAATCTGAACCTCCGCCTCTCTCTCCCTGTCCATCGCCGTCCTCTCTCTCTCTCTGTCCATCGCTCTCTCTCTCTCTGTCCATCGCCCTCTCCTCTCTCTCTCTGTCCATTGCCCTATCCGGCTCTCTCTCTCGCCGGTTACGGTCTCTCGCCGGCCCTCTCTCTCTCTCTCTCCGATACCGACCACGACCTCCGGTCATCTCTCTCTCTCTCGACTCCGGCCATGTAAGCTCCGGCTCACTCTTTCTGATTTTTTTTTTTAGCTTTTGTGAATGAAATGTAATTTCGACTTTAGATTTGTATGACATTAGCTTCATGGAATTTCGAGTTTTGATCAGATTGTATTAGGTTTATGATAGGTTAATCTATGGATTTAGGCTTATGAAAGTTTGATAAATTAACTTATTTAGGTTAATCTCTGGTTTATGTTAGCTTATTTAGGTTATTAAATAACTTTTTTTCTGTTTAGATCACATGTAATTTTGAGTTTAAATTTGTATATGAATACTTTTCTATGTTTTTTGATTTCAGGTCTTATGCCGCTTTCCGTGCTGCTTCTGCCCCATCCGTTACATCTCCTGAAACTGGTTCTGCTTCAATGCAACAAACAAGTGTCCCCCCCGCCACAACCATGCACTTCAGCATATATCATCGAAGATAGGTTACTCAACGAGCTGTTGCTGGCACCAGGACGAGAGCGGATTCCGAAGCTGAGCCCAAATGATGAACCAAACACTTTTTGGTAAACTCTTTTTCTTTATATGATCAAATTTTATATTATAATATTAATGATGATTTTCTTTTTCAGGTTTAGGAAAAGGAACCGGAATGCTATTTGCAAGTCCATTTTGAAGTGCTTTCATACCCTCCTTGAATGCTATCCGACTTATGCACATGTACCAATAGTAACAAAGAGGATGTGGCTTCGTTCATTTGCGGTGAGTTGCCTTTTCCATTTATAATTTGACGTTGTTATTTATAATCTGATTTTATTATTTATAATTATGTTTGAACTGTTTGTTTATTGCAGCAAGACTGGAATTGGGATCCCGCTCACACTGAAGAAGTGCGGACAGCCTTTAATGTGCAGGCTAACAAGCAGTACAAGAGCAACATGACTTTTTGGAAGAAAAAGTGGAAGCTGAAGAAGGATAAGCCCATAGGTCTGGATGAAAATGTGTGGCTTGGATTGAAAGCGTATTGGCAACTAGATGAGACTGCATCTATCGCAGAAACCAATTCTCAGAATAGGAAAAGCCAGCGTGGTGGGAAAGGTGTGTCCACACATAATTGCGGTGCAAAGACGAGAGAGGAACGCGAGATTGAAATGGTAAGCTTTACATATATGATTTCCTAACTTATGCTTTACCATTGAATTGACAATTTCTATGATGCTAGACTGCTGAAAATGGTGGTGTGCCACCATCATGGTTAGATTTGATGGAGGATATGCACACCAATAAACAGACCGGTGAGGTGCAAGATCCTGTTGCTAGAGAGTTGCTGGACACTTTGAAGAAGATGAAAGCAGAGAAAGAAGCACAACTCCAACAGTCTCAGATGTGTGCAGTTGAAGGATCTACAGCTTCAAACGTGATGTCCCGCAAAGAGATTAATCAGATGGTTCTTGAGGTATTTCATTGCAGCTAGCATTCTTTGATGGTCCTCTTATTATCTTCTTTTTATTATTATTAAATTTGTCTTTTATGTTTGTAGAATATCCCAGTTAAGAAAGGCCGTCGCTATGGTTTAGGCCGTATTTCAGAGGGGATCTCCTCTAGTAGCCAAGAACATTTTCTTCCTCGGGAATTATGGATGTGATGGAACAGCTGAAGACAGACCAAAATGAAGAGCGGACAAAGCGACGGGCTTTGGAGGTAGAACTTCGAGCCGTCAGTGATTTTATCTCTCGGGTTTATCCTGAAGATTTCTCAGCTTCACAGTCTTTCTCACCTTCACAGCCCGAGTAATGTGTTTCAAAAATCTTATGTTTCTTATGGTTTTTCGGCACTCTTATGTATTATTAACTCGGTTATGTTTTCTTAAGACAGTGTAAACTTTGTTTTAATTATCTAAACTTTTGTGTATTAAAATTTTTTTATTTATCTTAATTGTTAATTTCATAAAATATAGTACAAATAGAATTTTTAATTTAAAAAAAAACTTTATTAAATTTCTGACGGAAGAATCAATCAGAAATATTTGACGGCCGGGCCGTCAGAAATTTTGGACCGTCAAAGTCGTCAGAAATTTTCTGACCGCAAATGTCGTCAAAAATATTTGACGGTTTTATCCGTCAGAGTTGTGCCGGTTAGAAAAATTTGACGGATTGTCCGTCGAAAATTTCTAACGGCCTCTCGGTTGGAAGTTTCTGACAAAAAAAAGTCGGTCAGAAATCGGTTGGAAATTTTAACCGATTTCTGACCGATTCGAAATTTCTGACGAAATAGAATTGACGGGTATTTCTGTCGAAAATCGGTCAGAACAGACAATTTCTAACCATTTTCTAACCAATTTCGGTTTATAAACGCAATTGGGCGAAGCCTTATAAGAGTAGTCTCCTAGAGTTAAGTAACTGCAGTCAAAGTTAACATCATAAGCAACACAAGAGCTCCTAAAACTTTAACATCATTAGAATGCTAAAACTAACCCTTCAACGCATGGCTCATGATGCAGTGTCTTCAGATCAATTCCCATTACACTCATGATTGTATTAATGGCTGATATCCCTTCACATTCTGAATTTAGAGATACCCTAGCCGGCTATGTAAAAAAAGTAACGCTCTACTTTCAATTTCGGTTTCCATTATAATTTGTCCTTGTAAACTCTGTAATAAATTTGAAAATTTGTATAATAATTAAACATTTGACTACAAGAGAGAACTTTGCTTTTTTGCAACTTTTATCAAACTCTAGCACTGGTCGGTAACACTATATTATAAAAGACTACATACAGTAAAACCGATAAGGACATTAGTGGGAAACATTATGATGACATATTAGACATCATATTTTGTTGTATAGCACCGACATATAAAGTTATATGAGAAATGAAGAGGAACCACATATTTTTAACCGGTTATATGTGAAGTTTTGTCTTTATAAATAGGGAGTGATATTTTCTCGAAATCAAACGTAGAAAGTTCACTAAAGAGAAATAATGGAGGAAAAAAGAGCTATGTTGAACTCATTGATATTACTAATGATAATTTCCAGTTTTTGCCTCGAACTGACAGTTGCAGAAACCTACTGCCATGCTCAACGTCGCTTGTTAATTGACGCATGCAAGATATTAATCTTGAGGCAGGCTCCCCCCGCTGAATGTTGTCGTCGAATAAGAACGACTCCAGCGTGGTGCGTTTGTCCTTCTGTAACACCACAGAGAGCGGCTCTCATCGATGTCAATTACGCTGTTGGGGTAATCCGTCAATGCGGTCGACATGTAGCTCGCGGTACCAAATGTGGAAGTAAGTCTATAGTGTTCATTCTTATTCGCATTTACATATTTTCTAACTAAAATCACTAAGCCAAATCATTATATTTGGTATTTTAGATAATTTCTTTTGTTAACTGTAACCATATACGCCAACGTAGTGCTTCACATTTGCGTTAGTATTTTGTAATAACATCTTATAAAAAAAGGGAAGTACTAGTTAGACTATAAAACAAAAGAAAAAGTGTTTTTCCCAAGCAAGTCCAAACATAGTAATTGGGATTTGAAACAAACAGTATCATGAATTTTCGTTCTGGATGTGCAGGTATCACAGTTCCATAAAAAGCCGTTTGAGACTATGGAGACGAAAATATCGTTGCCTTAAACTATCGTCCGTCTCCGCGTTGTATCTGTTTTAATATTATGGCATTGACGTTGGCCTTATTTTGATGTGGAATAAAATAATGTCTGAAAATTATTTATACAATTTCAGTAAAAAAAAACTTTCTATATTTTCCATCTGAACAAATTTATTTCGTTGCATGTGATTTCAACTCCTATCTACGAACCTTCGAATTGGTTGGTTAACAAAACAAAAAAAGAAAAAAAGCCGGAACGTTCAAATTCTCATCAAGTTTGTCAAAAGTAGTCATGGGCATATTATCCGAAATCCGAAAACCGAACCGGAACCGAACCGAAAAAACCGAGACCGAAACCGGTCCGAAAATTACAAAAACCCGAACGGTTCCTATATTTCTAAATCCGAAAAACCGAAACCGAACCGAGACCGACCCGAGAACCGAACGGGTACCCGAATATTTTAAATTTATTAAAAATATTAATTATTTTTAACTTTAATATATATAAAATATCATTTATAAATTAAAAAAATCCGAACTACCCGAAAAACCCGAATATTTTTCGGTTATTTCTGGGTTTAACTCGGGTTTTCGGGATTTTTTCGGTTTATTGGGCTTCAAACCCGAATTAAACCCGGATTATTTGTAATACGGTTCCACTTCGGGTTTTATAAAAAAATATAAACCCGACCCGAACCCGATATTATCCGAACCGAACCGATCCGAAAAATGTCCGGTTCCTAAACGGTTCCTAAACATCCCAACCCGAATAACCCAAAAACCGAATAAACCGAACCGATCCGAACTGAAAACCCGAATGCCCATGACTAGTCAAAAGTATTTACTGGTAGTGCTTCAAAGCGAGGCTCCACTTTCAATGCGGCAGTTAAACCAGGAATAACTAAAATATAAAACAACTTGCTTTGGTAACATAACTCAATGGAATGTTTTACCAAAAAAAAAACTCAATGGAGTGTTACTTTGAAGTTGACTAGGTGATGACCCCCGTAAATGCGCGGATTTTTTCTGTTTTATGCTTTTAATAAAAAAAATCAATATCTTATCAATCCAAAACACATTGGATAGAACAATAGTTGTATGAAAATATACTTAAAAAGATTAAATAGAAACTTTGAGAATTAAACACATGTGAGCCTAATATTTTTAACATTTCTTTCTCAAATTTCTGTAATATTGGATGGGATCATGTAAACACAATATATTTCAGAGGTACCTCCACTTCTTGTTCACTATTACATTATTTATAGTGCTGAACTTAAACAATCTCTAAACCATCATCCTTCCAAGTTCCAACGCATGCGTTTCCAAAATTTTGCTCAATTAAGAGAAACATTTTTAAAAAGATACTAAGAGTCGTAACAAATAATCATTTTAAAAATATGTAAACCAAACATACTACTCCATATAGAATCGATTAACCATGATGACATCATCTCTCTTGTCAGCGATTCCCAATGATACTCTCAAATTCATAAACTAATCTCTTATTGCAAATAAAAACCACGGTTTTTTTCTGAGCAGTTTAAGATGAATATCCAATTGAAGTCATTAACGTCAAGCTAAGTATCTAAAAATGCATAGTTTTTAGATATATATATATATATATATATATATATATATATATATATATGTATCTATATATCTATATATTTATTTATATAAAAGAGATCCTTCAAATCCATCTACGTCAGATATTAGTTCTTCTGCACGCTGCCACGTGTCCAATTAGGGTTTAATTTTTTTTTTGCCCAAAGTTAGTGAGTGACCCAAGGCATGTCTAGAAGAAGCTCTGTCATATAGTTCTCATTCCTGCGAATTAGGGTTTGTCATAAGCCACAATCAATTATTCTCTGAACTCATTTTTCTTTATCGATTCGCATTTCTCAAGTTGATATGAAACCTCATTACTCATTGATGATAGTATTTATGATTCCTCCACAATATGTAATTAATCTCTTCTTATCATCTTAGAGTCGGTGGAGAAAGTGTATATATATATATATATATGTGAGATCTTCATCATCTCAGAATCGTTCACAATCTTTTCTCACACTGCTTAATCTGTTTCTTTTTAATGGCTTTGTCTAGGTTGGGTTATTGCATTTCTGGGAGGCAAGGAAGATTAGGCGAGGTTATGAAGTCGATATGCTCCTTCTTTATTCGAATGTGAGTTCCGTTGTAGAATTCCAATTATATCTAAGTTGATTTTCCCCAGAATATAAAATTTTCACTGAGCGTTTATGTTTTGTTTATTGATTGTGACTTTCTCCGATTTACTTTCACGCAACTCCTATGCCAGCCACCGTTGCTACTAGTCGTGTTCCGACCTTTCCCCATTTCACGGCGGGGTTGATGTATTCCATAACCGGTTTTGATGTGGCTCGGTGTAATCCAAACTTCAGGCAACCGTCAAATGGATAAGTAAATAGTTATTATACTTCTGAATCTCCAAATTTAATTGATATTATCCAAAGTCTCTTTTTTCTTTACTTTGTCGTCTTCTTCATATTTTTTGAACCATAATGTTGTCTTCTTCTTTTTCTTATGTTTGTGTTGTATAAGTTCTTTATTTATCTATTTGATTGGGGTTTGTGTTCTTCTCAGTTTGTAAACTGTATATTTCTTTATAAGTTACACTCTTGAATGCAGAATCGTTTTCCCCGTGTAAGTACTAAACATGTAATTTTAATTTGACAACTAGGCTGGAGATGGTGTTCACCCTGTCCCCTGAGGATACTCAAATCCCCCCCCCCCTTTATATTGGACATGGAAGGAAAGACATTCACCTTTCGAGTCAAGGTTAGTGCATACAACTTCACTAGAAATCATCACAATTTCACAATCACACGGATTCTCAACGGACGTGATCGTGCACCGCTCCCTAATTTCGTTGATATTGTGAGTGTTATGATTGTTTTGTCTTGATATTTTCAAGTACAGTAAATTAGTATAGATTATTGGACGTGTGCAAGGAGAACAATGTGAACAAGAGGAAAGACACACCGGTTCTTGCTAAGGTTGAAACTGGGGTGGCATTTAGAAGGCAGCACCAGATGTGGTATCAGCCCCAGATGGTGGAGAACTACAAAGGCCTTCAGCCTGAGCAGCTTTGAAGATGGTAAAGAATGTGCATTTAGCTTAGTGCTTTGTCATCAGATTTGCTTTAGCATAATAAGTAAAGATATGGTGTTTGCATCTGTTTTTTGTTAACTTTCTAAGCAATCTGCGCTGTCTGAATTTTCTATAAAATTATGTTTGGTTTTATGGGTTGTACGATTTGTTTAATATTATGCATACCATTAATGTTTCCCCCAAGATATTGTCTATTATCAAGAAAATATTAGCAACAACCCCAGACATTCTATAATAATAAACTATCCGGCCTAAGACGTATTGGATCGGCCTACCTCATTCATTAGATATGCCCAGTCCTGACTGTAGGTAAATAAGTCATATTAATAACCATTGAAAGTTTTAATGCTGGCAAAATAACTAATTATATTTACCAAAAAATCCAATTATTCGCATAAAATAGTTGTGTTTTACGGATGCACAAACTATTCTAACTGCCTTAAATCTTTCATCTTAATTTACGATCTTATTTTTCAAAATAATTATGTGCATGTTTTCCTAACAACTTTATACTACATCAACTAAACAATGCATAATTTGGTGTAATGTATCTGTATTTTAACAATTATGTACCTATGCCTGTGGAGTCCAATAAATTATATACCAAATTTTTTTAGAGAGACAAAATTAGTGAGATGTTGTTTCATTTACGAAAAATACATAACAGAACTTTTGAAAAAAACGGCATTATATAGATTAGGAGGATAATAATACATGATAAGTATAATGGGCCGACGAAAGATGTCAGTCCTTATGCAAACATAATTATTTGCACACAATAAACGACATTATATAGATTACAGCATATGTATACTTATCTGATTAATTCAACATATAAAAGCGGTACTGACCACAACAACATATAACCACCAATCAGTTAGCGACTGTATATAACAAAACATAGCAAATCTTGATAACAAAAAAAACTCCGGATATTATGAGTTAGTTACTTTTTAAGAAACACTCCTTATGGACTACATGTTGATATATAACTTCGGATCTACCGACTAAGTAATCTTTATTACAATGAATAACTTCTGCATTATTACTTAATAATTTAAAGTATAAAAGCAAAAAGTTGTGCCAAATTTAAAAAATTAACATATAAAAAATAATTCATGTTTTCTGTGTTTAACATAATCGAGTACTGTTTTAAAACTATTTTACTTATTAACAAAGTTAAAATAGAACAAATATTGAGAACAAAGTAAAACAATAGCAGACTTCTATACAAAAATTAATATTATGAAAAAAACAAAAAAAAATTGACATCGAAACAAAGCCATAACAAGGCTAAAACATCTTTGCATATTGGCAAACAACAACTATGGTAAATGTAACTATTCTATGCCATAATTTTGCTATGCACAAGAGAAACTCTTTATTTTGCTGAATTCATAAATATACATATTAGTTTTTTTGTGTCAAAACATATTAATATACGGGATTTCTTCATCTCACTGTGACAAAAAAAAAGTTCATCTCACTTACGGCTTACATTGCTTAGTTCAGTGAATTTTGCTACAATTAAAGAACATTGCCTTTGCTTACAACTTCACAAGAATATTCTTGGGAACTAACCCAAATCAAGCAAACTAGACCAAGATGACCATACAAGTTGTGGAAGTCACTAGACGTAACATGACTGATGAGAAACCGAGCTGACATCTTCTGATATCTGTTTGTGATATGCCCGATCTGCAGAAGACAAAATGATGTGTACTGTCCTTACTGCTTCTAATTTGTTCCAAGCCATGAAGGAAACATCTACACTTTCTGTGATACTGCAGGTTTGCTTTGCTCTCCGTAAGACCCTATGATCAATTCAGATTTGTAAGTGAGTTAGTTTGATGTGGTTCTCTGCGGCAGTAGCTAAAGTACAAGAAACATATTTTATCAGAATTATATATACATATTTTACAATATGTAAATTATGACGTAGCTATAATGATATAACAATATTATCTTTTTTAGACAAAAAATTTGTTCACAAATGGAAACATCATAGTAAAGTAACCAAATGTGCATGCTAAATACTCAAAGAGGTAATTTTAGAGATTAAATGTTTAAAAGTATACAGAAGTGATAGTATAGAAAAGTTGAAAGGGAACTTTATAATTTATTTGGCTCTACACACATAAAAGTTCCACGAATGATCGCTGTCCGAAATTCTCTTTATTTAACTGATGTTTTTTTCTTTGCTTTTTTATTTTATTGTGATTCTAACATATAGAATTTAAAATATCCTAAAGCTGTTAATAACTATATAAGTCAGTGTATAAGATTAAGAAATAAAATCTTCAATTGATATATACAAGAACTAATATCAGGATTAGAAAAACAATTTTGACATTGAAACAAAATCGCAACAAGGCTTAAACATTTTCGCATATTATCGAACATCGACTGTGGTTAAGGTAACTATGTCTATGCCATAATTTTTCTATGCACATGAGAACATGAGGAATGCGTGAAATTTATGGATCGCCATGAACAGAAAATCGACATATCTGGAGCTGACAAATACTAGGATAAATCAAATGTTCCTTACACGATATCTCTATATTGAAAAAGAAGTATTATGGAACTAATATGATCTTTACAATGCCACCAAGAAAGTGTCATCTTAATAATCTGGAAAATCGATACAGTGATTGTTATTACTATAAACAAATGGAAAAGTTTTTGGAGTTGATTTTACGATGACTAACAAGTGCCTACACTCATCGACCATTATTCAGTTTTTAAACTTTCCAGTTTCAATGTTTTATTACTTTGATTAGCTTTGTATTACTATCTTCTTCTCATTCAATACAACATTCTACTTTTAATAAGAAATGCAACTTCGAATAATCACCACTCCAACTCTGATAGAATGTCGAAAGACTATGATTTCAACATACAAAGTAAATACTCTTCCATACACAAAAATACTCACTTCTTAATCTTCTCGAACCCAAATATTACAAACCACAAATAACGCACCAAATATGGAATCAAATTTTGTAAAAGGAAACAACATGAAAACCATTTGAATCTCTCACAACATATCAATTCCACAAACTCTTTAATATAAAAATAAATATTGTAAATAAGCACCTAAAATTTTCTAAAAAACAAAAATCATTATTATACATATCTCTTTCAAATGCAAACCTAAACACACAAACGAAAAAATCATACAAAAAATAATAATCTAGATCACAAATAAAGTATATCCCGCCCGTAGAGCGGGCCGATCCTAATATATATTTGGTTATGTAACTTCTTAATTACTCTCTTATGCAAGTGTACAATAACAATGGTGATAATGATTTATTCTTACAAAATGCAAATTACATATAAGCAATAATCACGAAAAGTAATAAAGTGACTTACTACGCAATCTACAAGATTGAGCAAGACAAAGTGTTCCTGTGTGAGTGTCCATTAGAGATGAGGCTGTCCCACAGAAGACATCAGCTTGGAAGATTCATGAGGATTCGATGGAGAAAAAGACTCGATTGAGGTCTAAACCTTTTCGAATCGCAGACCAGGAGAAGCTTGCCGGAGAGTGTACCGGCGCAAGAACAATAACTTTTGATCGAGGAATCCTTGATGGAGAATTGGATTCGTGAAGATTGCATGTTTAGCCGATTGCAAATTCGAGGTGGAAACGTAAGATTATGATTTGGAAGCAGTGGATTGTTAGTCGGCAACGTGATCTCTACTTTCAGTGACCGATGGTTAAGGAAGATGACAAAGTTCGTCGACTTACCCATATAGTTGTTTTTTTTCTTAGGTTTTAAATTACACTGACCCAAATTCATATAGTTATCTAAGTCCAATTTGGTTTTATTTATCTCACAGAATTATAGTTAAATATTGTAAAACTCTATAATCACAAAATCATATAAATATATTTAGTGTTCTGTATAATATTAATCATTAAATAATTTTGATTGACTAATAAAATATTTAAGAAAAAAGTATTTAGTTATAAACATCATTGTTGGAGTTGGTGTATATAAGAAAATATTTGATTTTAAACATAATAAATTCAATTTTCTTATAAAATTATTCAATATATAATATTTAATTGACTTCTTAAAACAATAAATAAATTATATATATATATATATATATATATCTAACACTATTAAAAGTTCTAATTCTAGAGTGTTTAGACTGTCCATGTCATCAGATTTATTCAGCCAATCAGGATGTGTTGTTCTGCCACATCAGTCTACCTAAAAGATGGATTGTGTTCGGTTGGGTTTAAAAAATTCTGGGCCCAAAAAATATTAACCTGCGAGGTCCATTAGATCAAGCAGCCTCTAACATCTCCTAGGTCAAGCGGCGTCTAAACGCTTCTCTCCTCTCCTCTCACGCACTCTCGATTCATCTTCCCACTGTCTCTTTGCTTCCTCTATTTGCAGAACTGTTTCGAGATCGAAAGAGCGTTCAATCAATTCTTCTTTATCACAGCCTATGGTTGGTGGTGTCTGGTCAGATGATAGGAGCTTGCAGCTTGAAGCGACTACTCAGTTCCGAAATTGCTTTTTATAGGAATAGTGTTTGATTTCTTGAAGTTTTGATTGGACTCTGCAGCTTTCTTGAATTGAATCTATGGTTTTGATTTGGTTTGGTTTTGCAGAGCGTAATCCTCCTATTGAAGAGGTGACTGATGGTGGTGTTGTGTTTTTCATAGTATTTTGGAGACCAAATAATATATACATATTAACCACTAATATTTTAGGGAATATAAACGAATGCTTCATCATGTTATGCCCATGATTCATTTCTTTTATTTATTTGTATTCACTATATACTTTTTTGTTGATCACAGGGGACCTGGCGTGACGTTGATGATATTGTCATGGCTGATAACTTTTTACACACTGTGGCAAATGGTGGAGATGCACGAGATTGTACCAGGGATGAGGCCTGACATATATCACGAGCTTGGCCCTCCTTTCAAGTTCAAGCTCTCAAGCAGGTTTGATGTTCAGAAATCATCTTCAAATGTGATCTTACTTTTCGAGTATAAATATAAGGTAATGTATTATGTCTTGATGGTTAATTCATCTTCTACATCTTAACAGTATGGTGGTCTTAATGATTCAGAGAAGATAGCTGCATTTGATTTTGATGGATGCCTTGCAAACACATCTGCGAAAAAAGTAAGAACCCATTCGGTCACTCTGAATTTTGCAGTTCTACTCTGTTTCCAACCTCTTACAATGTTCATTTGTTATTTCCAGTAAGACAATCACATATTATTTCTGTTTTCCTCTTTCTCAGAGTAGGTGCAGATGCATGGTGGCTTATGTATGATTATATTCATGAGGAACTGCAAAGTCTTTATAGTCAAGGCTATAAGCTGGTACCTTCTTTTCATTTTGAATTCCTTCTAATCCAGTTGTCTCAGTTTGTTTGTATAGAGATACTGATTTTAAATGGCCATCAGGTGATTTTCAATATCCAAGTTGCTACACAAACATTGTAAGGCCACGCTTCTCATAGCTTGTACCGTCTTCATTAAAAGATTTCATATTATTTTGGCTTAATTAGCTAAGTGACTATGAGTTTAGTAATTAGTTCAGTGTGAAAAGAATGGTGACTAAACAAACTTGTGCCTTCTCTTCTTACATTCACCAATTAGATTTTATGATTGGACCTTTTTTGTTTTTTTTTCTGCAGATGGATTACTCTTCAGATACTGTTTTTATTATCGAATGAGTTTAAAGAAATTGACTTAACTCTGACCACTTGGCTCTACAGAATCCTTGTGGAGTGATGGCAAAGTTCCTCAGTCTACTAAGTCACAGGACAACGATACCGACCGAGAACGTGAGAAGGTTGAAAGGTTTAGAGAAAGAGACCGTGAGAAGGAGAGGCTCGAGAAGGCTGCAGCGAGGAAGAAATGGGCAAAACCTATCAATGAACTAGATCTCTCGAACTGTGAGCGGTGCACTCCTAGGTGTTCTCGCTCACCTTCCTACCATTGGGTAGAAAAGAAAGTATGATCTGAAAATCTCCTTTTTATCTATTTCATAGTGTGCCTACATTTGCATAATTTGATCATTAATGTGGAATTTATGGTTGGCCAGGTCAAATCTCAACTGCATTATCTGGATGTCTAAATAATTCTGAGGTTTGACGGTCGTTTCAGATGAAAAAGAACCAGGGGCAAGTTATTACTAAGGTGGAAAGTCATTGAAAAATGATCAACCAAACAAAGAAATCTCATCAATATGGGCTTTGATGCCATCACTGTCACCAAAGCCTAAGCCAAACACTAAGCACTCTCTACTAAAGCTACCAAAGTTACTCAAAGATGATAATAACAAACAAAAGAAAGGATCACAGTTTGCCAAGTTCATTGCGGAGACCCAAGAGATGTTTGTAAAACCGAAGCTTTCCCGCGACGTGATCCCAAGCAAGTTATGACAAAATGGCTTTATCTGCAGCGTTTATGTCTTCATTCTCTCCTTTGACTTTGTGGATAGAGATTACAATGTGCTGGTATTGTTTCTGGGTTCCTCTGCTTGTAACATATTTAAACACTTGTCATACGTTTGCAACTGTTTATAAATCTTCATACATTCCTCATCTTGCATCTATTTTCCTTAGATTTAATTCCATGATATAATAGTGAATTTTTTTTAGTTTTATAGTGTACATAATTCTCTTGGTCATCGTATAACTTTAAAGTGTACCATATTTAGGAAAGGAGATGTGTAGATTGACCATATATAATTGTTCTTTCAAGCTTTCATTGACGAACATGTACAACTTCATTTTTTCTTCTCATTTTTAAAAATTTATAACAGTCATCTATAACTCCAGCTTACAAGATTATAAAATTTTATAGATGGAATAATAATTTTTGGAGTAATATTTACCAATCAAAACTATGGGAAACAATAAAGCGTAGCCAAAAAAACAAATTATGAGAGGCACAATGTTAGATTACCATAAAGATGCACAACCTGGTTAATGTAAAATAAAAATATACATTTAGTTACACATCAAGAGAACAATAGATTTTAATTTATAAATACTATTGGCTTTTTCTTAATTTTGATATGCATATATATATTCTATAATCCATATAACCAAACATTATATAAACATAAATGCTTAAAAAATCTATCCATAATAAAATATAATATAATTAATATATTTTACTTGAAATAGAACATATTATAAAATAATAAACAAGATATAAGAAAAAAATTAAACAGTTCTAGAACCAAAAGTATTTATTTAATTTACATTAACCAATTATGTAATGTTAGAACCATTAGTTGAACATTTAGTGATTAAACTAAACAACATAAAAATAGCTAGAGAATATTATATTTTAATTATTGTATATTTGTTTTGCTGCATAGAAACAAAAGTATTTGACATAATTTCAGGATTCTTTTAAATAACATCACTTTTAAATTTTAATTTTTCTCCGTTTCATCACTGCCTTAACACTTAAGAACGAATTCATATAGATTTTGTTATCACCAAATAATAAATAATAAATATTAAAATTTAAAATATATATTGGTTAATTCTAACCTTAAAATATTTGAATTATATGTTAATTTAACCACATTTTCATAAAATTCAAATAAACAAGTTAAAAGAATAATTGAATTTGAAATAAATTTTTTATTCAATTGGTTACCAACTTATATATATTTTGATATTGAAAGAAAAAAATGAATTTTTAATAATTTTATAAGTTTAGTCACCAAAATTAATATAAAAAGTTTCAATATTTTTAATAGTTTATATAAATTATTTAGTCTAAGTATAGAATATGTAATCAAATATACTCTATAATAAACTAAACAAAATTAAAATATAGGAAAATACCCGGGCGTAGCCCGGGAAAAGTCTCTAGTATATATATAGTATTATATATATAATTACACACGCTTCCAAAATGTATCCACTATCTAAATATTTTGTAAAAACCCTTTCTATGTTTCCAAATGCTTCCATTTTCACTTACTTGCTTTCGTTTCCATGCAACGGGAGCTAAACGACAACAAACCTATTCTAATAAGAGGACGTGTTGCAAAGCAGCGTAACAAGTAGAGAATATGTCATAACCGTAGCTTTCAAGAAAAAAGCTCTGCACTCTCAAATCATATTCATTTCAGTTATTGATAAAATCTCTATAATATTATTTGAGAAATCATTTTTCTATAAGTCACATTAACTTTCGCGATGGTTGATTACATAGATACACTTAATGAATTGTTAGATTTTAAGATTATTATTCCTTTATTTAGTTTTTTTTACCTTTTTCCAAATAACATATATAATAAAAAGAAGATATATCTAAATTTTTAAAACAAATTTAAAAACGAAATATATGTATAGAATATGACTTTATTAAAAAGGAAAGTTCACAAAATAGTAATACCCCCATTAATATATATTTTTAAATAACATAAAATATATTTTCAAAATAATAAAAATATATATGTTCATGAAAATCCACCAATTTATCAGTTACATTTTATTTTCTAATATTTTCAGAAATCAACATATAATTTGATAAATATTATTAAAATACATGTATATTTAAGCAAGAAATAAAACTAATTTAATTTGACTTAACTAAAATAAAATTAATTATACTTCAATTTTAATTTAAAAATATATTTAACTCAATATACTCATAAAATGAATGTCTCGAGTGATCTAATTTATATCCAAAATTAAACATCTAACTAAAATAAGAACATATAATTTTCTAATAATAATAATAATAATCTATTTAATTTCATACATATAAACTAGAGGTTGACTCAGAGCATATTAAAAAGAAAAAAAATATTAACCAATTACAATTTAATTCTTTTTAGAATTTATATATATATATATATATATATATGCATGAGATTCATTATCATTATATTTATTTATGTAATTTTTAATCAAACTCTTCAGCTTATTATTTATTTCATTTTAAGCACAATATATATTAAGTTATACATAATTTAACTATAATATATTTACATAACTAAGAATATATTTACATATGTAAAGACAATAACCAACCGAAATAAAAATAATGAAATTAATCAAAGTTTTCTTATATTTAGAATAAAAAGTAATATAGCTGAATTTGAAAAATACCAAATTAATAACTAAACCGACTATTGATTCAAAAAATAATTAAACCGATAATAATGTAACCAAAGTCATATGTATAATTAGAATAATATAATATTTTTAATATAAATTATATATATATATATATATAAATTGATTCAAAACTAAAACTAAATATCATTCAATTATTATTTTTATAAATATTAATGGAAAATCAACTAGTAATTATAATATTTCAAAAATTTTACTAGAACCTACAACTCAAGTTGCAAATCATTCAATTATTATTTTTATAAATATCATTTGAACGTTCCACTAATTGTACATTTTTTTTCTTTTCCTTTTTTCACAAGTTAAGATTTGGAAAAAAACAGCATCTAATCACCACCGTCAGATCAATCAAACGGTCAGAAAAACCTCATCGAACATTCTGGAAACACGAAGCCTCATCCGTATATAAACTCAAGCCCTTCTCTCTCCACACCACAAACTCGAACCCACACTTGCCTTCACCGCCGCCTCAAAGTATTTGATTCTTGGATCTGAGAGATAATGGCGGGTAAAGGAGAAGGTCCAGCAATCGGAATCGATCTCGGTACAACCTACTCTTGCGTGGGAGTGTGGCAACACGACCGTGTTGAGATCATAGCTAATGATCAGGGAAACAGAACGACGCCTTCTTACGTCGCTTTCACCGACTCCGAGAGGTTGATTGGTGATGCCGCTAAGAACCAGGTCGCCATGAACCCCATTAACACTGTCTTCGGTATGTAATCTTTAATCTCTCCTCTAGTTTTATAGGATCATAATCTCTGTTATTCTAATTAGTTTTTGAATGAGATCCTTAGGGTTGTTTATACGTACGTCTTTGTTGAATGCTAAAGTTGTCGTCTTTAGGGTTTATAGGAAGATGTTATCTGAATACGGAAGTTGTGATTAATTAGGGTTGAATATATTAATATAATGTTTAGATTTTAAGGTTTAATAGGAAGATCTTTCTCTCTTCGATTTGATTTACTGAACTTGCTTTTATGTCTTTTACAGATGCAAAGAGATTGATTGGTCGGAGATTCAGTGACGCATCTGTCCAAAGCGACATGAAGCTATGGCCTTTCAAGATCATCCCTGGTCCTGCCGACAAACCCATGATTGTTGTCAGCTACAAGGGAGAAGAGAAACAGTTTGCTGCTGAGGAGATCTCTTCCATGGTCCTCATCAAGATGCGTGAGATAGCTGAAGCTTACCTTGGTGTCACCATCAAGAACGCTGTGGTCACTGTCCCTGCTTACTTCAATGACTCTCAGCGTCAAGCCACAAAGGACGCTGGTGTCATTGCTGGTTTGAATGTGATGCGTATCATCAATGAGCCCACTGCTGCAGCTATCGCTTACGGTCTTGACAAGAAGGCCACCAGTGTTGGAGAGAAGAACGTGTTGATCTTTGATCTCGGTGGTGGTACTTTTGATGTTTCTCTTCTCACCATTGAAGAGGGTATCTTTGAGGTCAAGGCTACTGCTGGAGACACTCATCTTGGTGGTGAGGACTTTGACAATAGAATGGTCAACCACTTTGTTCAGGAGTTTAAGAGGAAGAGCAAGAAAGACATCAGCGGCAACCCAAGAGCTCTTAGGCGGTTGAGGACTGCCTGTGAGAGAGCAAAGAGGACTCTCTCCTCCACCGCTCAAACCACCATAGAGATTGACTCTCTCTTTGAGGGTATTGACTTCTACTCTGCACTCACCCGTGCCAGGTTTGAGGAGCTCAACATGGATCTTTTCAGAAAATGTATGGAGCCTGTTGAGAAGTGTCTACGTGATGCTAAGATGGACAAGAGCACTGTCCATGATGTTGTCCTTGTTGGCGGTTCTACACGTATCCCTAAAGTTCAACAGCTTCTCCAAGATTTCTTCAACGGTAAAGAGCTCTGCAAGTCTATTAACCCAGACGAGGCTGTGGCTTACGGTGCAGCTGTTCAGGGGGCTATTCTGAGTGGTGAAGGAAACGAGAAGGTGCAGGACCTTCTACTCTTGGATGTTACTCCTCTTTCTCTCGGTCTTGAAACAGCTGGTGGAGTCATGACCACCTTGATCCAGAGGAACACGACAATTCCAACTAAAAAGGAGCAGGTCTTCTCCACGTACTCAGACAACCAGCCTGGTGTGTTGATCCAAGTCTACGAAGGTGAGAGAGCTAGGACCAAGGACAACAATCTCCTTGGAAAGTTCGAGCTTTCTGGCATCCCTCCTGCTCCACGTGGTGTCCCTCAGATTACTGTCTGTTTTGACATTGACGCAAATGGTATTCTCAACGTCTCTGCCGAGGACAAGACCACCGGCCAGAAGAACAAGATCACCATCACCAATGACAAGGGTCGCTTGTCTAAGGACGAGATTGAGAAGATGGTCCAAGAGGCTGAGAAGTACAAATCTGAGGATGAGGAGCACAAGAAGAAGGTCGAGGCCAAGAATGCTCTTGAGAACTATGCTTACAACATGAGAAACACCATTCGTGATGACAAGATAGGCGAGAAGCTTCCTGCTGCAGACAAGAAGAAGATAGAGGATTCGGTTGAGGAAGCTATCCAATGGCTTGATGGTAACCAGACTGCTGAAGCGGATGAGTTCGAGGACAAGATGAAAGAGTTGGAGAGCGTTTGCAACCCCATCATTGCGAAGATGTACCAAGGAGCTGGTGGTGAGGCTGGTGGCCCCGCTGGAATGGATGATGATGAAGCTCCTCCATCTACCGGAGGTGCTGGCCCCAAGATTGAAGAAGTCGACTAAATTATCTGTTTGAATGATTTTGGCTCGAGACCAGAATCTTTGTTTCGGTTTTATGTCTTGCTCTGTTATTGAGCGATGTACTCTCTCTATCTCTTGTTTGACCTTTTTCTATATTTTGATTTAAGATGCAGTTTTTGAACTTCGTTTTAATTGGTCTCTCTAGTGTTGTATCCATTGCTTGTGGCTTTAATCACGTAGTATAATGGAAACAGAGAAAGGGAATACCGAATTGGTGCTCTTCAGCACTGGCCTCAGAGCTGAAGCTTTCATGTTTATGTTTCCTCAGTGATTTTCGGTTGATCTTTCTATAAGGGGACCATATTTTGTCCCTATGGTGTATGTTTGGGTGGGTTGCTTGCTTGGTTCAAAGATCTATGGTGGGATATCTTTTACTAAAGTGTATGAGAGTCTTTGTCGCTGTATAGCTCTGCGATTCATGGTGTTCAGAGCAGCGGCGTTTGCCAGACCTCTCTCCAAGTCTGGTATCTGGTACTCTGACGTTATGTTTAAGAGGAGTCTTTCCATGGTCTTGGTGCAACGGTACAGTTGTGGTGTTGATCATGGCTGATCTCCAGGTTCTTGGATGATTTCTCTGGCTCCAGTTAGATTGTTCTTGTTGATGATCACTTGATACTGAACTTCAAACTGATCTGTCATGCTTTCAACTTGGTCTTTGAAGCTTGTACAAGATTTTATACAGTGATGCTCATTTCTTGTTCTCCAGGTTCATTTGTGATTCGAGCAAAAATAAATTTCAGTATAATGATCACGATTTGATTGGTTTTTGTGAGTACTCATAGATATAAGCAAAGGAGGACACTATATTTTCTAATGGCTGGTTCTTTTTTCATCCTCACAAGATTCAAAGAGTTCCAGAGAGAGAGAGAGAGAGAGTTAACAATACTTTTGTGAGAAGGTTGTATTCACACAGGTGGAGTTCCAATGCGCAATCTTGTTTCTTAATAATAGAGCTTTCTTAGGTCTCACGTTGCAGTTACATGGAAACCAGATCCAAATAAACACTTGGATTCAATTTTACATAATTGGCAAAAGAAGAAGTCATGAGGATTGTACTGTATTTACATATTTCAATAACCCAAAGACAAACCATCCCTAACCACGATCGTTGATTCTGTTTTTGATTTGGATTCTCAGAGCTGAGGCTTCCTCTGGCCTAATCCGGATGTTGTTGATCTGGATAAAAGTTTATAAAAGAGTAAGATGATATGTGATTTGTTGTTATAAAGAAAGAGAGTTTAAGAAGCTTACCATTTCAAACTCGTTTTTTCTCATCCTTGGAGGTGCGTTTTCCATGAACCATTTAGTGAATAAGAGAACAAACACACCGCAGTGGAACTCATTATTCTGTTGGTCGCACAAAAAGAATGACATAAGATAATTTGACTCTTCTCATGTGGTTCTAGCGTTTAATTACTTTTAATCCAGAAGAAACCGTTTAAAAGCAACTTAATGTTGAATCATGGAGGGTAAAACAGAACCTCTACATCAGGGTCATTAATCATTTCTGAGAATGGTAGATCCCCAACAGAGGAAGTGCTGCTGATTTCATTCTTTTATTAAAAACCTGCAAGGCTGCAACAAGTAGTTGACATAAAATCCACTGAAGATGTTATTGCATTTTCAAACAGTTGTAATAACTTGTCTTTGTATTTATTAAATTCATAACCACTGAAAGGCAGACGTGTAATGGTGTCCAACCTTTTGATATTGTCAACAATTGATTCTTTCGGATGCTGTCCTCTTATTGAATCCATAGTCACTCTCTCTTCACATTCTTTGTCTGGGATACACACAATTACTAAGCTCCAGTGGTTACTGGAACATCTATACTATTATTTGCGAAATGATTTTTCGCAACGGAGCTCTTACGTTAAAAGTTAGAGCGGTGAATATCTATTTTACCCTTAATGAATTTTTTATATATAACTAATTTTATAATTAAAAACGAAATTTAAAAAATAAAATTAGATTAGTATGTTATTATCTTAGATAACTGATAATAATTAATATAATAAATTTATAAAAAAATCAAAAATCAGAAAAACTAATTTCAATGATTTTAGATTTATCTTTATCTAAAACTCTTTTATATTGGGTTATAAAGTCTATATTAACCTTGAAAATAATTATATTGGTTAATATATAACTAATTATAAATTAAAAACGAATTTTATTTATAATTAAATAACTAAAATTAATAATAATCATAAGAATTATCCAAAATCTAAATAATATCTTTTAAATAAGATAATTTTGATATATATTGTGATGTTATCTGAAAGTTAGAGTGGTTAATATCTATAGTACCCTTAATAAATTTTATATATAATTAAAAACAAATTTATAATAATAATATTAGATTTATATGTTATATTAGATTATTGATTATAAATCAATATGATAATTGTCAAAATAAATACACATTACAAAAATAAGATAATTCTTATAGATATGGTGTTGTTATCTTGAAATAATATTTTTCTATTACAAAAATTAAAAATTTGATTATAAATTAATATGATAATTGTCAAAATAAATACATATTTCAAAAATAAGATAAGTTTTATAGATATTGTGTTGTTATCTGAAAATAATATTATTTTATTACAAAAATAAATATAAATGTAATAAAATTTAATATTAAATATTAATTAATCAGTTAAATTTGAATAATGATATTTTTTTCAAATATTTCTAATATGTGAGAAAACATAAATAATAATTTATTATGTTGAGTTATATCCGTAAGAAGATTATGCCCGCAAGGCGGGCACAACACCTAGTGGAACAATATATCTTGTGAAACATTCAAATTAAAGATAAATGAGCTGAGACACACAAGGGAAACTTGTAAAAAACTTACTCTTTACATATAGGAATAAGAAGATAAGACTTGGAAAATAGATCAATGCCCTTCCACCACCTCCTCAACTTGACAAAACCTGATAGTTTCCCAGACTTTGGTGCCTTTGAGAGTTTTGTGCAGAAACGTCAGCGTATTGAGCTTGCAATAGATGTTTAAGGTGTGGCTGGAGAAATGATCTGTGGCGAACAGTCGAGGAGGGAGATTTGGGTCGTAAGTGTCCATTTCCTCGGAACCTGTAACTAGAAAGTCAGGGCTTTGAAGGAATTAGAAGAATGAAACCTAAATCGAGATTGGGTGTGTAGAGTACCTGCCATCGGATGTTGAAGACAAGTGTGGAAAGTGGAGAGGTAAAGATTGAGACCGTCCCGTCGCTCTCGGCGGAAATGAAGGTGAAGAAGCGCGTTCGTGGAAGGGTGATGTGGCGTAGGCCTATGGGCTTAAGATATAGCCCTGTAAGGATCAAACCCATAAAAATGTGGCCCAACTATATTTTGCAGTTATGGTTAATTTTAGAGGAGGGGATAATTTGAAAATTACCCTATTTACTTGGGGTGAGCACAAGCCGAGTACTTGGTATTTTCGATATACTTAGTACTTGGCTTGGCTTATACGAGTATTTAAATTTTGGACTTGTACTTGGTTTGTTAAAAACGAGTACTTGCAGTTTCAATTACTTGCGAAAAATTGATGGACTAACAAGTTACTTGGCCGTCTTGGCGAGCTGAACCGCACCTTCCAGGTCGCCGGACCGGCAAGCTGACCAACCCGAGCCTCACCATCCGCATGCCTGGAGTCAAAGCATATGTCCCTCGACTCGATCGTGCTTTGAACCGTGATCGAAACATCTTTCGTTTCGTCTCGATCCGACTTACCATTGGATTTTTACGATAAAAACTGCTAAAGACTTGTTTTCTCGTAAAACCTCGAGTAGATCGTATAAAACGGCAACGGTTAAACGAAACACCGAACATTTCCAAACTATACGATTGACTCGAGATATTTTATAAAAACGACATCATATCATGGAATGATCCCAAACAAAATCGTAAAACGGCTAAGTCACGAAACGGCCCGAAAAGTCTTAAAACACGATAAAAGCCCACTCACAACTTTAAACGAGATCCAGCCCAAATATATGATGACGGTTTACCCATTATTCGCAGGAATGAATAAATTTCAAGTTTGAAGACAAAATAGAAGTTTTCCAAGGAAAAATAGGAAGATCGAGAGAAATGGAAGATTTCCGATAAACACGAATCGTGGCGGAAAAGGAAAGACCAACCGCATAAAGGAAGAGTATATAAGCACAAGGTCGAAGTCAAGAGGAGCAGAACTTTTACAACTCTTTTAGACTTAGAACTCTCTGCACTTAGAAACTTACACTTTATTCTCGACAAGTTCGGTTTCTATGACTGGCACTCAATTACTAGACAAACTCGCTCAGGAAGTTTGATCTCTTGTTCAGCTCTATCAATTGAACTACGTTTGGCTTGATCCTCGAAAGGGGTACGTAGGCAGCCTTTCATAAGGTTCAATCTGAAATCAATCAATACTCTTTTTCGTATCTTTTGTTATCAAGCTGTGACTCAACTAGGTTCGGGGTTTTATGTTGCTAGAACTAGGTAACTCGCTGACGGCTCTTGCGGCCAAAGCTTTTGTAATCTCTTGTAATGATCGCACGCTCTTACGTGGATTCGAAATAATATCTAATTTCTTTATAAATTTGTTTTCTCATCTTTTTCATATTTTCCTCATTTATTTGGTCATTTGTTGTTGGCTCTCGCAGAGATCCGAAACCTCTTTTAAATTAGGGTTTTCCTAAGTTTCCTTATTTTACGGAAAATCGACAGTGCGAATTTCGGTTCCCACAACTAAGTAACTATAAAAACAAATATTGAATGACTATGTAACCACCAAATAACAACTACAATTTTCTTGGTACAATTCAAAATATAAATAATCATAAATAATAGAAAATATACAATCTGAATTCATACTAATAAATTGGAATTGTTTTTACAAAAATTACGCAAAGATATACACAACTATGTAAGAAAAAAAACAACACAAAATGTACAAAAAAGCAATGATAAGTTGAAATATGTTTTTTTAATTAAAGCAGACCATAAAAATCCATATATTCATACCGTCTACGTGAAACTCCACATAATGACACAAAATCCTAAATATTTAAAACAAAATACCCATCAAATAAATAAACCTTCTACCTAATAAGACACCTCCAAAACTCAATAAAATAAAGCAACACACATTACAAAACAATAACTTATAACATTTGGATAAAATTAAACAAATACAACAACAAAATTAAACAAATTCACAGAATCTCGCGCGTAGCGCGGACACACACCTAGTTGCAAATAAAAAAATGAAGTGTTTGTCTCTATCGATCTGTTCATCACTAGGGAGCACTCGTAACGAATGTAACCTCAGTTGAAAAACTGAAATTTTCATTAATCATTCTACATATCATAGTAAATTAGATGTATCAAAGAAGGTCAAAATTCATCTCTAGTAATAATAAAAGACATTTACGATGCCCCATCTTAAGGGTGTATCCCAGGACGTTCTTTCAACCATGGTTACACCACACCATGGCTCTGCAAAACAGGAAGGTCCTTACGTAGATAATAATTTGGATTCAAAGATGAGGCATATCAATCGACTCAATTATCAACTTCTAGTGTTCATTGTGCATTGAAAATAAGAGATTATTATCACCAAGAAGGCGAATCAGAGATACACGTTGAGATATGCGAGTGCTATGTTGTATGTTATGTCTTCATAGAACGAAGAATGGAAAGAGAAAAGGCATTTTATGCTCTTCAGAATATGAAATACTTAATTCGCCATGTATGAAGTCAATGTTTACATAATTTGATGTCGCTTTGGTTTTGGAAATTATTTTATCGTTCTAGCCATTTGGACACGAAAAAAGAGAGACATACCTATTTAAGTTTTTTTTTTTAAGTTTGAGTTTTTTATTTATTTTTTATGCTGAGATGTCAGATAGGGGTTGCTTAGGTGTCATATCCTGGTGAGACTCAACTAAGTTATTATATTATAGATTCAGCTTATATGAGTTATGTTGAAGCAGTCATCATTCTTTCGAATCAAGTGATTCCCAACAAATATCGTGTCTAATCTCATTTATATTTGGCCTTAAGCAAGTGGAAAAAGGTTAATGGTTTATGTTAAACATTTTTCATATTCTTGTTGTGTATATATGAAATACAACTTATATGATTTAATTTCTATTGCCAAAATGTGGTTTTACTGAGGATGGTTGGTCTCTTCATTTCCACTTTCAGCTGCAACATGTTTTAGAATAACAATAAAAATGATTCAAGAAAAAGATAGATGATTACGCCAAGAAAACAGGTTAGTCCATGCTCTAATCTGATGACAAACACTTGTTCCATCAAGATGTACAGTGGTTGAACAATGTCAAACCTTCTATGATGTTCATTAAATAGATTATTAACATCCATCCCAACACAGTAAAAGGTCTTTAAAGAAACGGTGGCAGCGGACACATTATACAAATGTTAAGACAACACAACTAGAAGAACATTAGACACAACCAACTTTAGCCTTTGCCATTTGGTTCTGAATGCACTAGCAAACTTTATTTTAAGTATTTGGTCATCATTTGATCAGGCTACTGAACTTAGTTATAAACCATATTCTCAGCCTCCTTCACGAACCCATCTCTGGTCCAATCTTTATCTAATTTCAAGCCTCTCCTCTCCGCTTTTCTCTGCTCAATAACTTATTTATGTCTCCTTACTAAATCTGTGTGTGTTGTATAGTATTGAAGCGAGTGCATGTGCCAACAACAAACAAACAAACAAGTAAGCAACAACAAATATATGAAGATAAAGTTGCCCATACCCTCTAAACTCTTCTATAGTTGAGAAGTTGTGTTGTTTCATAAAATCTTGAAGCTCGGTGCATGGAGTTTTCACATGACCATAACCATGAACCATCACACCAGTGCATACCTTTCTACCAAAAGCAATAACTGAGTTTCTCACTGAGTTAGAGACTAAACAATAAAAGTAAAGGTAATATTGAGTTTATTCACCTATACAGTGTTTGATCTGAGGAGAATGAATTCAGCTGTGTCATATCCAATTTCAACACCTCCAATACCCGAAAGCGAGCAATCTTTCTCGCTGAACTCATCTTAGCAATGTTCATAACTTTATATGAGTAGCCTCCTAAAATTGAGTAATTCCAGTAAGTAACAACATAAGAAACACAAGAGTTACTTAAACTTTGACATCATAAGAATGCTAAAGCTAACCCTTCAACGCATGGCTCAGGATGCAGCATCTTCAGATCAATTCCCATCACACTCATGATTGTGTTGATGGATGAGATCCTTTCACAGCCTGATTTTAGAGATACCTTGGCATGCTATTTAAGCAAATGGATATGGTTAAAAAGCATCAACACACACCTAAGACCAACAAAATGTCAAAATCATATTTATTCCTGGGGAACTAAAAGAAAGCTTACGGTTTTGGCGATGACACCACCCCAGCCTTCATCGAAGACTCTCTTTATGATGGTTTAGTTGGTACCGGGTGGACTCGACCCGATCACGAAAGGGTTCGACATTTTCAGACCGTTTATTGTGAAACTGAGACCAGGCTCCGAGTCGGTGGCCATGGAAGAAGAATATATCTTAAGTCCAACTCTGTTAGGTGGTAGAAAACTCCGGCGAGAGGGGTGATCGAATTCAGGTGATGATAAGGTGGTTTTAGCAGAGAGTGCAGAGAAGCGAGTCAAGGCGAAACTCATGGATGTCTTCATTGAGTAATATATTTAATATGGAGAATGTCGAGATTTATCTTAGGACAGAGCATTCAAACGAAATTAACAGAAGGTGGAAGATAGCACGTGGAACTGTTTGTGTTGATCAAATCGAACAAATATGCGAAAGAAGTTAAGAAGATCCGTTTGAATTTCGTCATGTCCATGTGGAAAATTATTGAAGCTGTTACAAGGATAAATCATAATTAATTAATTAAGTAATACCATAAATAATTGTTGTCATTTGTAAATAAAATTTTTAGTTTTGGTTATGATATGTTTCTTAACTTTTAACTAAAAAATAAGTATCAGTTTTTAAATAATAGATATAAAAGTTGATCCTTAACCAAAAAGTGTAAAGAAAAAAAAAATCAAATAATGAGTTAAAAACCTCACTCTAAGAGTCCCACAATAAACATGTTCTCCCCTTTTTGTTCTACTCTCTTACCAATTCACTAATCAACAAAGTGGACAAAAAAAGGGATTCAAATTAATGCCGACTGAAGATTTGTGTACATTGCGGAATAAGGTTGTGTGTAGATTTGTATGGGTCCTGGTAGAATATCTAATGGACTAGTGGACCCAATAGCACAAACGTCACAGTTAGACAAACGTTTGAACAGGAATCTAATACGTGTAAATGGGAGTGGACACAAGAGCCAGTTGGTGGCTCTCAATGTCTCAACGTTGGTCTTCCCTTTCTCAGTTTTTGACTCTGCTTTTCTCGTTCAGTTTGCCTAGCAGGTCCTCTAGAATTGTCTAGCTTCTGAATTTTGATATATGCAAACGTCGGAAATGCAACCAAATCTTAGAATAAGCTCCTGACTTCATATTACTATGAAAACAAGTTCATAACAAATGACAGCAAAGATTAAAGACTAGAGATTTTAAGAAAAGAATCTCGACTTGAAAAGAATTATTCGATTTATGATAATTATCTGTAATTGACTAATTGTACATCCACAGACACAGAGTGACCGCAGCCTCGTATAAATTTCGATGGTCACAAAATTTTAAGAAATTTAATATTATTTTTCCTTGAGTCACATTTCAATTTATGATATAAATAATCGGATCCGACTTTCATTATTATCAAATAACCAAACCAAACCAAACCAAAAGTCTAGTTTACAAGTAAAATACAGATCACTCATCATTCTCGACACTTCTCTCTCTCTCTGTAATCTGCATCATCACTCTTCTTATCTCTTTTCTCCGACCAAAGTCTCTTCTCTCTCCTGTCCGAGACTAGACATGGACGCCGCGACCGCGAGTTTGATCCAATCTCCCATCTTACCGCATGAAACTTCCCGCAACGGTACTGGATCTATGTTCCTTACAGCCAGTAGCCCTGGGTTCACACCTTCTGCTTCAAAACTTCAACTTCGATCAAAGGTATGTCCTGAATCTCCGTCTCTTGATTCAAGTAACCTAACATCATGCTCCGGTTTTGTTCAATTAATTTTACGAACCAATCTGATTTTGCACAACCGGTCGGTTTTTCTTACAGCAAAACGCGTTCACTAAATTCTCAAAACCGTTAATAACACCTTCCAAAATTCGAAGAAGTTTCGTGGTTAGAGCTTCAGCATCTGATGACACTTCCTCCAAACCAATCGCGCCGCTTCAGTTACAGTCTCCTGCTGGTCAGTTCCTCTCTCAGATTCTGGTGAGTCATCCTCATCTCCTCCCTGCTGCTGTTGAACAACAGCTTGAGCAGCTCCAAACCGATCGTGACTCTCAGGGACAGAACAAAGATGCATCATCCCCCCTACCTGGAACCGACATCGTTCTCTACAGGTTTGTTAAAAAAATCACTAGGTTAAGAGTTAAACCTTGCGTTCCAAGAAACAAAACAGAGTAGAGGTTGAACATGTGTTTTGTTTTGTTCGTGTGTAGGAGAATCGCTGAGTTGAAGGAGAACGAGAGACGTAGGACATTAGAAGAGATTCTATACGCATTAGTTGTTCAGAAGTTCATGGAAGCTAACGTATCACTTATACCATCAATGACACCATCATCATCAGATCCATCTGGTCGTGTTGACACTTGGCCGATCAAAGTAGACAAACTCGAGCAGCTTCACTCTCCCGAGATGTACGAGATGATTCACAACCATCTAGCGTTAATCCTCGGAAGCAGAATAGGTGACTTGACTTCTGTCGCACAGATAAGCAAACTCAGAGTTGGTCAAGTCTACGCTGCTTCTATCATGTATGGTTACTTCTTGAAGCGTGTGGACCAGAGGTTTCAGCTTGAGAAGACCATGAAGCTTCTTCCCGGTGCTGGTGGAGCTGATGAAAGTAAAACAAGCGTTGAGCAACCAGAGGACGTGACGTCTCCTCACCCAGAGGTTGGTTCATTTGCGGGTGGAGTTAGTGCTAAGGGCTTTGGGAGTGAGATTAAACCGTCTCGGTTAAGGACTTATGTGATGTCGTTTGATAGTGAGACGCTTCAGAGATATGCTACCATTAGGTCAAGAGAAGCGGTTGGGATTATTGAGAAGCATACTGAGGCGTTGTTTGGTAAGCCTGAGATTGTGATTACACCGCAGGGGACGGTTGATTCATCCAAGGATGAGCAGATAAAGATCAGCTTTGGTGGAATGAAGAGGCTTGTCTTGGAGGCTGTGACTTTTGGGTCGTTTCTTTGGGATGTTGAGAGTCATGTAGATGCTAGGTACCAGTTTGTACTGCTGAACTAGAAAAAAAAATGGTTTGTAATGCAACTTGTGACATTAATAAACGACTAATTCAAAGTTACATTTTGAGACACGTTTTATGCTATTAAACTAGTTAATATCTGGCTATTTTAAAATTACACTTTGTTTATGCTATTATAACAAAATAAACTAGTTAAGGTTACATATTTTAAACACGGTTCATGAAGAAAGAAACATATTTTTTTATTTTATGATATTATAAAGAAAGATGGCAACCAATAGCTGGCTAGTTTTAAATAACTGATTAACACACAATAATTGATTTCGCCTATACTTCAAGCAAACTTGGTACATAACTGCACATATGTTTATATCGGGGACAAATTCCATGTTTCCCAATAGTGACTTTTCTGTTATAATCTTTTCCAACAATGAGTACTCCACCGTCAATATCGCCTTATTATTAAAGAAGAAGCAAAATAAATGAATAACCTTACAATGGTAAATTATTTATATGTATGCCATTTTGTATATGTGTCATCATGAGAATCATTCTCAACCTCTTTTAATTTTAACCCTTTTATAACTAGATTATTTACTTAAGATGCCATTGGACTACTATGATAAATAATTTGATGATGCTTATTTTGTATAGTTTTATCATATTTACTATGTGATATTCCACATCTGATTATAAGCATGATTTCCTTATATGCATTATAGTTATAAATACATAGTTTTTCAACATTTTTTAATTATCGTCATCAACATCGTTCTTAGAACCATAAAAAAAATTGTGAAATACTATTAGTTAATTTAGTTATTATAAGAATATTTTCAAAACTCATATTCACCGTAGCCTACATAGAACATATAATTGTTTTCTATCATTGACATCGAGTCCTATACAACATCATACGTCGAGCAAGTATTCTAAAACATCATATCAAATTCAAAATATCTAAGAGACGCAACATAGAATAATTATGGGTTGTTTTTATTTTTACATATGACGCCAATCACTATCAAATCATTTTGTATATTATATTTTCTATATTCTTATAAAAAATTTCAATTCATTTTTTTAAGAAAATTTTGAAATTTCTCTTTTCTGACAAACCAAAATTTTCCACGATCTTTAGCACAACACTCTTACAAAATCTTTAATTACTATGTCATATATAACATTATGTATCTTAACCAGCATATCGTTTAGATTATAATATGATGTTTTGCATTATATTAGAACACATCCTATGAATACTTCAAAATGGCGACGGAAAAAGACAACATTCAATGCTTTCTTTTCTTTGACTAAAATTACATTTAATGTTCATACAAATCTTAAAATCTATAGCCTTTAATCTATCAGTTAGGAGGAAATCATGTGCTTGATCTATGGAATTTGGCCATAGATGGATACACATGTTGTATTCAAAAATTTAATACTCCTAACGTAAAATACGGTACAAGCTTTGTTCCATAAAAATATTATTATGGTTATATATTCCATTGAATAAGAATCTCATTTATTATAAACTATATTTAAAGAAAATTATGTTTTTTTTGTTAACATAATTAGGAGTGGGAATTTGGATTTTTTTTGGATCTATTCGGGTTTCGAATTTTTGGATTTAAGGATTTTAACTTTATTCAGGTATTTATAAATTTTGGTTCAGTTTCGTTTTGGGTTTGGATAATCTGTTTATATTATTTTTAAATTTAAATTCATATATACTTTTATATTCTCAGAATCTAAAAATAAAATAATATATCACATATAAATTTGAGTAATATATGTCAAATATTTTTGGGTATTCTGATTATTATTTAGCTATTTTATATATTTATTTTTTACTATTTTATATATATATTCAAATATCTTCGACAATTTTAAAATATCTTATTATTTTTGGATATTAAATCTAAAAAAACAATAATATTCAAGTATATAAGTCTCTTACGGATATCTCAAATATTTTGGTTCTAATCAGATTTGGTTCCAGTTTTCTAGATTCCAAAATTATGAACTCATTCTGTTATTTAACTGATTTTGGTTCGGATTCTCGGCACTACCTTTTTAGATCTGATTTGGTTAGGTTCTTTAGATTTGGATTTTTTTGTCCAGCCTTAACATAATATTAATTTCACCCCGTGTAAAGCACGGGTCTCTAGCTAGTCACAAATTAAAGCGACTTTCTTATCTTCATCGATGGAAAAACTCCTAAAATCAATCAACAAAGGTGGTACGGTTTGCCCTAGATCCAGTGAGAAAAAATGATTCCACGATGCCCCTTTACCATTGGGTTCAATATTACCTGTGACCCATATTTCCATATACTCCTCAGGTTGTAATAGCACTGCAAGTTTATTTTCTTTAATAACAGATAGAGCTACAAGCCAGTCAAACTGGAATGGTACACAGATTTCTCCAAATTTCTCTTTCGAAAAATCAAAACTTACTAAGAAGCTATTATATATACCTTCTTTATTTTCATAAACAGACCAGTAAGCATTTCCTTTTAAAGATACCACACGAGATTCTAAAAGCCAATTGTGTGTGACATTAAGAGTCCTCCATGAATTTGAGTTGAAATCATAGATTTCTTTACTATGTGTAGTAATAGCATGTGCATTAATTTTTTCCTCGCGCACATATCGGAGCCTTAAAATTTTGTAGTTATAGGCTTATAGCACGATTTCTTGTATTCGTATCCTAAAGCAAAATTATCAAATACTCCCTCTGTTTCAATATAAGTGTCACTCTACAGCTATGCACACGGATTAAAGAAACAATTAATTTTACATATTTCCTATATAAAAACACAATTACCCATACACCTAACCATATTTTAACCAATAGAAAAACAAATTACATAATAAAATTAATAAATTTTACATTGAAAACCGAAAACGACACTTATTTTGTAACACAAAAAATTCTCTACAATGACACTTAATATAAAACGGAGGGAGTATATCGTAAGCTCTTCTTGGTTCGACAACCCAATTGATTTTCCCCGTGCACGGATTCCAAACCATGGGTGTATGTTCTTTGGAGATGCATAACATTAACCCGTTGCAGTGAACCATGCGATTCATATCTACTTGATATGAGTTGTTGAGGCTAGGTTCACCTATATCCTTTATAGATGGATCAATGTCATTGTGAATTCCATCGACGTTGATATCAACTAAATGGACGTTAAAGTTCTTCGACATGACAATCAAATGTTGTTTTTCTGCTTTACTAAAATGTTTTCTGCCGAATTCTCGATCTTTGATTACATCATTCCATTGTTTACAAGTGGATTGTAATCGTTTTAGATTAGTAGCCGGAACTCTAGACAATATCTCCTCTACCAAATCTTTTGGAAGTTCTGACATCATCATTTTTTTGTTTCTAGTCTCTTTTTTTGTTAATGGTTCCAAATAATAGCATAACTGTCGTTACAAGTTCTCAATCTTAAATAGACCAGAATTTAAATTATATTTTTAGTCATGAGTCATGAAAACAGCAACATATTTTTTTGTTATTAAAACTAGATAAAGATATGATGACACATGCTAAGCTTTATAATTTATAATAATATCTTTGAATTTAAAATCTCACTAGTATAAATTTTTTTAGATTTTAGATTTATTTACTAAATTAATTAATTTAGATTTTTTTAATAAGTATATTTTCACCTAATTAAAATATATTTATTTCTTTATGGACTTATAGAACAGCAGTAGAAAACATATAATTTTTATTTGTGGTGGAAATAAAAACATTTTAATATGAGTCGTATGTTAATTTAATTAATTAAAGTATCATAAATATTTATTTTATCAAGAATAAAATTAAACTTGCTAAAATTTTAAGAATTTAATTACATTTCATTAATTAATCAAAATATAATATTTTGCAAAAATGTATTTTATTTAGAATATTAGATGTTGATATACTTATATATAGTGCCAAGGTTGGAGTTTTTTGTAAACAAAAAAAACCAGGCTTTACCAAACGCTCCAGTTTTTAAATTGTAGAACCCCTTAGTAACAAAATCAAACAAAACATTCTTACACTTACGTTTTCTTTTTTACCGTTTTGGGCTTGATTTAAAGTTATAGTTTGTTTTTTTTTTAACTAACTTTTTTTGTGCAATTTTTATATAGGATTATTATATCTTAAAAATTACTAGATTTGGATTCATGCTTTAATAACACGGGAAAATGTTTTGATTAAAAATTTCAACTTAAAGATTACTATGGTTTTTTTTGTTCTGACTTCAAATTTGATTTTGTAGTTCGATTCTGATTCAGTTATATTTGGTTTTTGAGTTTTATATAATATGTATAAGACTTTCATTCGTTTTCTTATCCGTGTTTTAATATCTATCTTACTAAAATACGATCATTCGTATTATTATCTTTTGAATACATTATAATATTATTTTTGTACTATTGTGTTTTTAAAGGATTTGTGTCCTTCACTAAATATATTCAACAAAATCATTTATGTCCTAAATATCAGATTTAACTTTCTATATTCAAGGGATGTACGTGACTAATGAACGTCATGTTTTCTGTCATATACCATGACATTTTGCAGTATACAGTATATACTTTTTCCATATTAATTACTGAACATAATAATTCTTTCATAACCTATGGTAACATACAAGATATTTCATTCTGGAAAACATATTGATTATACCTTTATAGTATTACTCACATGCTCGCTTGCTATATTCACCATATTTAAACTCATATTTTTAAGTTTTACTCAAATAGTAAGCATAACCACTAAACTTTAAACTCTAAACTCTAAACATTGAAATCCTGTAATAGCAATGAAAATATCTATTTGCTAAGCCTCTCCTGTGACCATCATATTATTAGGTGCCAAATTTCTTAAATAAATAAGATCCCAAATGTGTGGCATGAGTATATAAATAAGATCCCAAACCATCTCCATTGATAGGCTGAGTAGAGCAAGATGATTTAAAATACATTAAAGAAGAAATCAAATAGGCCAGTGAAACCCTCTGAACAAA